CTTCTGACTTCAAACTACCACAATCCCACTGTATAAAATATTCGACCACTTCCGCCTGACTCTTTTACAACTGCAAATCCCTTTTCTGTTCCCCCTCTCGACTTTTTATTCTTTTGATGTTCCTCCCCTCTGTGAAGCTCGAAGTCAGCTAAAGGGCTAATGATAACTATCAAAACGCCGGCGAAGTCAACTAAAGGGCTAATGATAACCATCAAGACGCCTACCATTTGATATAAACAAAATAAATGCTTTATATTCCTTAATAGCCCGCACACTGAGATATTTTTTAATCTAAATCGCTATATTTTATTTAATATTTATGGAAATGAACTTGAATGTTATGCTTTATGCATATTTTACAATATTCGAATGTATTACAAGAAAAACGGGAAATAATTTGAAAAAAATTAACTATTTATATTATAGGCTGATTTCCTTGGAAAGACAAATTTGTAGCGCGCCGCCTCACTAATAAGCTTTGACTTATCTTTAGCAATCACCATGACATGATCGCCTAATTTGGAATGGCTACCGGAATAAGCAAAGCTACCTCAACGCTATAGAGAAAACACGGACCCATGGCTTGGAACACGCTTTTTTGGGATGTTTGTCCGCCACGGAAGTTAGCTATTAAAATAGAGGTAATTAATAGAAGCAGGGACTATTCATTGGTGGCTGGCTAGAAGAGGTCTTTTTCCTCACGACATTACTTGCTCCTCCCACGTGACAAGTAGCACAGCCGCACCTTCGAGTCTGTCTGGATGGGCAGGAGATTTATTTAACCAGCCATGAAACGCAATGCACTCTCCAGGTTCAAATCATATGGAAATGTTAGTAGAGAACGCCATTACCGAGTTATAACTCTGAAATGAATATGTATTTGGTCTTGAAATGAATGCAAACAAATTAATCGATATGCTCTATATGCCTACATTGTTGCCATCAATCAAGAATATTCAAAGTTAGGAGGTCCTGAATCTGGGAAAATAAGACAAGAAAATCGGTGCATGACAAGTTGAGTTTACTCTTGTTCATTTCTCATCTCAATTTGACTTTATTTTTATTCATAACCAAGCAGTCACCAATATGATCTGTGCTTCACACTGTGGCATGCAATAACTTCGATTGCCCTGACCTAAAAGCAAGAAAGAAGATAACATCTTATTAAAGAAACGATTTTTTCCATTCTATTTAGAGAATGAATTTACTTGTGAAATTTTGCTCAGCCAATAGTTGTAAAGTCACTTATCTAGACAGGAGGATTTAAGTTCCCTAATCGATAACCTGATACCCAACTGATGATAGCAGTGAACTTCGCTCAAGTGTTCAAAAAGTATCTTGTTCGGTCTGATATAGATGAATAAATTATTATTTCCCGACCTTTAGCCGAGATTACCTTTTGTCACCCTTCAAAATTGATTCCGCTTCTTTTCGTGGGCTTATCTTTGGGGAGTCATTGCAATTACTTGGATTTTGAGTATCGATTTTGTTGCATTGGGTGTAACTTTTGGAATATTACCATTTTTGAGTTAACATCTTAATTGCGAATACTTTTAGCCAATAAACAATTTGAACAGATATGAATTTATTATATTTTAAAAGGCAAAATTTATGCAGTTAAGTCAACTTTGAGGGACTAGAATCGGAAGAACCTAGATTTCTTCTAACCTTCTTTGATCCACATAAAACTAAATTAGGTAAACTGAAATCAACTAATTAGTTTCATCCTAAAATTAGAGGGAGCAAAATTAATAAGAATTCACTTACTTGCATTGTATATAAAAAGCGAGCATATATTATGGAAAAGGTGAAGAGAAGTTTGGTTCATCGAACAGGGGAATTTTTGGACTCTACCACTAAGCCATTATTTTTACAGCTGTTACATAAGCTCCTTTGGAGAGACAACCATTGAAATTCAATTGGTGGTAACCCTTTCATTCAACGGCTTAAAATTTAATTTAGTAAAGTAATGTAGTCACTATACTTAATACCAATTGGCCACTCAGACCTGAAGTTTTAAAATGCTGTAGTTAAGGAGAGTAGAAGTGGAGAATTCGGGGTCAGGTACTTAGAAAACTTTTCATTCTTATTTATTAATTTGACTAGATTAGGGATTAAATTTTAATATTATCCAGTTCTCTTAAAGAAACTGTTTTAATAAATAAGCGTTAAGATAGTAGCTTTCGACCTAGAATTTGCATGGATCATAAAAACTTGAAGTGCTTCATTTCCTCTTACCGTGAATTAAGACTTTGACTTTCGCCTTAACTTTTTAACCTAATTCGCGTCGAAAGTAGTTAGTTTTACCTCCGGCGCTTCATTGAGCTCTCGTTGGGATGTAATTAACTTTTCGTAAATTATAAAATAAAAAAAGGAGTTATTACTATTTCCGCCCTCAGTGGAAATTAGATGCACACGTTTCAGGCGAAAATATCGATTTTCCGAAATCCTGCCATTTTTAGAAGTGATAAGTTGGTGAGTCATATTTCAAAATGGCATTGAATGTTATTTCGGAGAATATATCCAGATGCTTGACGAAAATGAACAAATCCACAGTAGCAGGAGTTTGAATTAAGTAGGGATATAAATTTTGATTTATTATCCATGGTAGAACAAGGATTACGTAAAAGTATGTTAACAGCAAAGGATATGCAGATGAGAGCCGATGTCACAAATCAGATTCATGATGAACTGAATAGAACTGTTACTATGAATATTGAGAATAAGAAGAATCTTTGCTTTTGAGGTTCCCTTACCCATCCGCCTTTAAAGGTAATAGTATCTCCAGTTAGGAACAATCTTACTGCGCAATAATAATTCATACATCGAATGAAGCCACTAAATCCTGAAATGGACCGATTATGGTTCAAGATCACAGCATGAGATGGTTAGGAAAAAGTTGCATTTCTTTCTACAAAAATCCAGTTAATGAACTTAGAAAACAATAATTACTACCCAAACTAAAAAAATAATTGAACGTTCAATTACTTCCGAGAAGCAATTGCTTTTATCATAGACCTATAGAAGTAGACCTCGATAGTGATTTGCTAGAAATAACAACGAATAGCAACTCACAACTAAACTACCTCCTCCAATCAAATCAAAGATCCAATAAAAAGACACCAATCATCAACATCCCTATTTACTATGCAAAAGCGAACGATATCAAATTTTCAATATCGAGGGCAAAAAAGGCGTGGGAGGGGGAAACAAACATTTACACATAAAAGGTGGATAGATAAACTCACCGAGAGAAATAAGCATACATACTAAGCCAATGAGAGCAAGATTAAGGCGCTAAGAAGTATACACACAATCAAACGTCGGGAAGAAAAATAGAGAGCAGTAGTAGTAGTAGTAGTTGAAGGCCTATAAATGCGAAAGGGTGGGGAGGAAATAGGCGAGAGAGAAGTAATAACCGTCAAGCTACTAAAAGCGCGCGCACATTATAATAATAGTAATATGAAAGACGATGTATTGGCATGTGGAAAACAAGAAGGGAAATAAAGTAAATAAGAAAAGATGAAAACAGTCCACACTTTAGCGGGAGGCTTTTCACGCAGGTGGTTGTGACTGGGGCTGTTGTTGAGCTGGAGGTTGATGTGCATACCAGTAGAATTCATGGTGATATTTCTGTGGTTCTGCAGGAGCAGTGGCTTCATCTTCAGTAGCTTTATTTGGGGTTGAAGCAGAAAAAGAAAAGACAGAGGTCGAATTATTCACAACTCGAGTGGGTTGATAGGGTTTAGTGATGTGACGGCAAGCGGGAGCTCTTTGAATGCGCCTTCCAGACCCATTGTATCCGGCAGATACGGACCGGGGTGATCGGGGTGAGGAAATAGGGTTACTCGTTGAAGGGTAGCCGTTGTACCCTTCGAGAGCAACGATTTTGACCTGTCTTTGAGCAGGAGATGGTGAAGAAGAAGTAGAGGGAGGAAGGATTGAGGGACGGGAGTTAGAAGTGCGCGGTGCAGTGTTGTAGTAAGTGGGAGGTTTATGAGATTGATGATTGAGGAAATTGAAGTAAGCTTGGAGATTTGTGTGGTAGGTGTTGGAGAGTTCAATTGAGGAACCGCTTGATTCTCCATTTGCCCCACTGAGATGGGGGTAATAGGCGTTTCGTCGAGCGTCAACTGCAATTGGAGGATGAGCAGCTCCAGAAGGGACCATGGACAAATTGCGACCTGGAATAAACAGGGAACGATCTCGGTTCCGAAGAATTACACCGTTTTGTCCACCATTTTCCCCAACTAAGAACGAAAAAGGGAAATTTAACGAACATTTTCATTTCAAAAATAATGATAGAGCTTAGCGTATACATCCACATGCATGTTCAAGATAAAGGGAATAAATTTCAACCTATTCAATTGCTTGAGTTCTTAAGCTGACGCAAATTCTATCCAGTCAGTGCAGAGGCACACGTATCAATGGGAAGAAAGTTGTGGATGCAAACCATGGAGGAAAGGGAGACTAGTGTACTATGCTATACGCATTTGCTTATACCTTGCCAAGAGAGAGAGGAATGTAGTAATTTTGCCAAGATAGACAATCTCACCCCTATCCGTGTCTTCATCTTATGAGCACACTTCCAGACGATATTCCTCTTCACATTTATTTCTATTGCCCATGCAAAGTGTTCTAGTACTTATTTGAGTCATGCCTAGAGCACAAGCTCTATAGTATAACCAGCCTCCGAGAACTATAAGAGGGATAATGATTTGTAATTAAGGAAATGCATGTGTTTAGAAACAAAACGAAAATCAATAGACTACACATCTTCCAAATTCCAGGACTATTAAAATCGTCTGACCTTCGTAATTCATTGTGTATCATCTTAACAAAGATAGGCAAACATACTTGAATATATTCAAAACTAGAAGACGGATTACAAGGTTGCAGAAACATTTATGGACTTTTCAATTAAACACAATGTTCATACGAACCCAAAACGGACGAAATAAGAAAAACACTGGGAGTGGGAAATGATATGTCTGGTTTTAGGTTCCAAACTAATAGCACAATTGAAATAATCAGGTTCTAAAGAGCAATCTAGAAGAGATTAAGTTAATTATGGAAGAATCTTCCCCCGTGATATTAATGGCCTGTGAAAGACTGAATTTACATATCAGAGAACACTTAGCAAACACACACAAAATCGAATCAGTATTGGGATATCTACAAAATAGACTATCATTTTGTGAGAAAGTAACTCAAGGAAACCATGATTAACAATATGGAACAGTACTCTTCATTCCTAGCTTTAGAAAGGACATTGATTTGATGGAAGACTAGTTAGCTGTCATTACTTCAAGTTGCACGGCAATAATGAAAATCCGTGGGAACGAAGTGCTAAAACAATACTGCTCTTTTATAAAAAATATACATTCACACAATTGAGGGTGATTGATAAGCAGCTCTCTAAAGAGGCCTGTCCGAAAGTTCAGAGTTTGGAAAAAACTGCGGAATAGATCATTGCAATAACATGTGTTTATAAGTGTTATGCAAAAGTCAGTCGAAGGATTTAAATAAACGCAAGCTATGCATGCTGTCCTTATGGCACTTTAATGGAAAGGCTTAATAGTAAGTGAATATGATTAAAATGACTACTTTTCAATCATTGAAGCAGAAGCAATACTGGTAAACTGAAATAGGAATCGAATTCAAGCCTCAAGAAGCAGCACATTCATTGTTAATGAAACAGTATTAACGTAAGACGAATATCGATTCAGCGAGTTACATTTTCATTTTCTCTTGGCGACTGTCACTGGCTTATTGATGATGTTGCCGCGTTGTTGTCACGTGATTTGACGCTTCCATACAACAAAGAAAATGTGTGTGTGCGTGCGTGCTTTCTACCAGCTTCCCACGCTATAACGCCAACTTCACTATCTATCAAGAAGAGCGTGGGAAAGAATGGAGGCGAGGATGAAAATGCTTCAAGAGAACTGCCTACTTCAATAAGGTAGAACCATCACCAAGACGAAACGGATATTGAAAATAGATAAATAGCTTAGAGCAATCTAAGCTAATTTCAACTAATCGTTTCAAAAATATAAAGATAGAATAGAGGTCACTACATAACCCATAACCAATGCAGTTAAGATTCAGAGCTACTTGTACTATTAACGAGATTAGAAATAATCTGTAAATAAAAAATTTACGAGATCCAATTGATCATGAAACCATCAAGTATCTTAAATAGAGGTCTTGAGGACACATGGGTCAACTGAAATATTTGCTTTTCAGAGTCAAGATCTACAAAATCCTCTCTCATCGTCAACCGTCTGATTATCTGTCGCATTTCCATGATCAAAATTTGCTCCTATTTGATTATAGCGTCAGACCCCCTCCCCCCCCCCCCCCCCCCACTTCAATGTCACAGTAATGCTCAATGTAATAGTGAAAGTGGCGAATTATCGAATCTTCTACTGTTTCTAAGGTGCTCCCGGCATTAAACTACCAACCGTAAACCTGGCGCAAGTGTATATCCAACTTGTCCATACCACTGCATTGTCAACCCCATTATACCTCTAATCAAGTAGGCTCCAAAAATTATGCGTTTCAGATAATTTTAAAAGACACACAAAATGGGGCTCCTATTAAAAACTGCGCCCCAGATATCAGACGCCAAAAGTCATCGATACCGCGAATTTGGTGATTGACACACTAATCTCTATTAGATGTGACTGCTTTGTTTTCTACTTTAGAAATGTTTTCTCAACCACTTAACTCGATCAGTTTAATGTGTGGTCATGATTTATTAGGCACCATTACAAAGTACTCCATTAGTTACTCCTTTGATAGCTTGGAAATACATCAGTACGTTTTTATTATAAAAATTTCACACAAATCTGATCGTTCTTTCTTTCTCACTGTTTTGTAGGTTGCATCACAAACATATGCCCTAGAGAGAGAGGTTTCACAAAGTATAATAAAAGCGTGCCTAAGAGGAGCAAACAGAAGTGAGGGATGGTAGAGCGAAGTGTCACATCGTCATTATAAAAAAAAAGAAATCGCGCAGATATTGGAGTGGGAAATTAACTCAAGAAAGTGTGAAATCCAGTTTCAATTTGACAAAAAAACAAACAATATAATTCTTCAATCAGAAACATTATCATATTCTCCATACCCGAGCAAATTCCATGGGAAAATCTGTGAACAAAATTCGTAGCAAGAGAACGGAATTTTCCGAAAAGCTACTAGTCTTCCACGACCGTACTAGAAAATGAAGTCTCCTCAGCTCTATCAATGGCCAAATAGACAATTACTGCCCTACATTCAAGTCAAAGTCACATAAATGGCTACAATAGTAGCAGTAAAGGTAATGATCGAGAGACAATTGAAGGTAAAAAATTAAAATAAGATAGCAATTTGTAAAGCCAACTGTTTTGCAAAAAAAAGGTCAAATACAATTTAACATATATATATATATATATATATATATATGTTTTGTAACTAACTCTGAAAATACGGTTTCGTGTGGTTGCAAGTAGGAACATGTTGGTGAAATGTACAATTGCTAGAATATGTATATGAAAGTAACTCTACTCATGAGAACCGACAGTAAATAGAATATTCACCCCACCCCACCCCACCCCCCTCCCATAAACAGTCTTCAATTTAATTCTCTAGGCAAGAAGGTTCTAAGAGAAAAGAAACACTGCTTGAAAGCAAAACTTGGAGAAACTCTATTGTTAGAACAGGAATTATTAACATTTTACTCCAATCTCACCTGATGCCCATTAAATATAAAGCCAAGAAAGAGGTGGCAACTAACTCACAGCTTCAGCTCAAATGAAGTGCTTATATTATAGAGTCGAGCTCTTCACATTTCACTCCCCTTGCCTTCAACAGTTGTACCTTTATTACATACCAAGAATAAACGGGTAAGTATAGAAAAACCATTCTTCAATATTGCAATGCGATTAAGGAAACAACTGAAAATGTTTTGCGTGAGGCAACATGCCTCCAATAAATCAAATGGCAGTTAAAAAGATCGAGGAAGAAAAGTATGACAACTTCAAAAGGTCTTTTATAGTTACCTTGACAACTCCACCGAGCTCACAAGTCGTACCTGCGATGATTGATGAAATTACCAAATTGTGCCCAAAAATTCGATATAAATTTTGAAATTATTTACGAAGAAGAGAAGAGGCAGAGTTAAGAAATGTTAAGGTAGTTGAAAACAATGACCTTGATTAAAGATAATGTTGACAAGCAATTCTGCAGTAGAATCATTTGGGGGCTTAATGATTTATTTTTAAAAAGGTAGGAATATCCCAATTTAATAGTTAAAAATTACGCTATAATAAGATGTGAGGTGAAAATGAGCTTGCTAGCATATCTGGAGACTAAGCACTACAGGAACTTTGAATTTGGAAAATAACTCTCATGAACAAGGATGCACATAACCATATGAGCTGGTTCAATAATTTCTCGAGTATTATTTCTTAAAAGAATAGGACTAAATTGTGGAATTAATCTCGAGATAATAATAAAATCTCTATGTTCGGATTGCCAAAATAAAATCAATAATAACACCGATCTGTTCAGAAGACGTCAAAAGAAATAAAGGTGCCAATTTCACAAAAAGATCTGTCGAACTTGAACTGGACCTTGGAACAAAAGATTAGAAAATGGAAATAAATGCGAACTTTCGCTCTTGGAAATTAACACCTACTGAAATTGTCAACGTCCTGTCATAAATGACAATCTCCAAACAAGAGATATCAAGAATATCAAGGGAAAAAGTTTTAAAGACAAAGGAGATTTACTGAAATAGAAGCCATCTAGAGGAATTCATTATACGGCGTTATATACTCTTGATGAAACCAGTATCACTTTTATTCAAATGGACTCAATAAAAGGAATGATAATTTTGAAAAAAGGCAGAAACAAAAGGAAACCATTAGAAAACTTGAATATTTCTCGCTTTTTCCTCAAGAAATTGGTGACTAAAAAGTTAATCACGTGGGATATCGAGTTGGGAAATAATATTTCCATACTGAACAACATAATTCTGCAAATAATTGATTAGTGTGCACCGCAGACAAATGTAATTCCGTAAATTTGGGAAACAATAGATTTCTATATGGAAACTTCAAGAAATCGGAGAAAATCATGACAGGGTGCTACTGTGAAAATAATGGAGGAAACGTGGCCCCCCAAGGGACTATTTCGTTTAAGAAATTGCATTAGGCTATTTACGAAAACAGCAAACTGAAGTTAAAACGTTTTGCTATTTTGGAGGGGCAGCTTTATAATATAGAAATGCCTTTTTTTCGTTTGATGAATATCAATTGTGAACATATTATTGAGTGTATACCTAATTATTTAATGGATAATGGAGAAGGAAGAGGAGGAGAAGAGGATCAATAAACACAAAGATTATCCAATGTTACATAATAAAAACGAGGTGTTTCCTTAACAAGGGAGATTGTAATAAAATATCAGAAATAATCTTTGAGGCCAAAAGTTTCAAAATGGAATATTATGAAAAAGAAATTAAACAACCAACTAAACAGGCTCTGTAATAAGGTCAATTGTTTCCGAGAAAATTATAGAGAAAAGGATTTTAAAATAGGGAAGAGAATATTAGAGACAGGGGAATAGCGTCCTGAAACCATCCAAATGGAAGCCCTCATTCTATTTCCAGGCGCAAATAAATGGGGTTGATTAAAGCCATTACTAAATAAAATTAGCGACCTCTAGCACATCATATATGAAAGTCAGCCACTATGCGACTGACACACAGTAAAAATGCACCAGTATATCACATAACACAATATCATCAAATGTTTGTGTACACTCAAAGACTCCTATTCAAACATTTTACCACGCCCTACCGATTTGAACACGTCTACATCTTCTATTAGTCTGCGCTACTTTTGCCACCCTCAATCCATTTGTTTTTGAGATCGATTAAATAATTAAAGTCGATTAGAAAAAAACAACCTTCAACATCCATCCAGGACAGAAAAGATGCAGTCTACTAAGAAACTACTTTTCGGCCACTACCTATAACACAGACTTCTTCAATATAGAAGCTATACGGCGAATTCATAACATCTAACTTCGTATAGGAGCACCATTGACGAACATTTAACATATTTTAAGTGGGGATGAATGTCATACACAGAGTATTGAGAGAAAGCTTACCAGACGAGCCATAGCCACCAATCTGCGAATCGTGTAGAGCAGGAGAGGAATTAGCACCCGATGGTGGCAGAACCTGTGCCTTCCAGTTGCTCACCATCGTCTGCTGCTGCTTCTGACCAGTATCTCTCCAAGGGTTCACCGATGGTGATGACTCTACAAATATCGAAGGTGCCGGTGACCGTCTTGATAGCGATGTTTCCCTCTGTTGTTGCTGAGTAACACTACCTCCACTCCCCCTCCGGACAGCTCCACCATTTGTGAAACTGTCAACCTCCGACCCACCACCATCCAACCAATGAGTACTCTTGTTACCGTCTGGGGAGAGGGTGACTGTGGAGGAAGCAGGGGAAATGGGAGTGTGACGACCACTGCCATTGAAGCCGCCATTACCAGGTAGGACGAGACGGATGGAACGGTACCAGTCGCCTACATCGTAGGGCTTTCTATCGTATGCGAGAAACAGCTTTGTTTTTCGGAGGGCCGGATATTTGGGACGCAGATTGTAGTCCTTGATTAAGCTGGAAGAGGAAAGAGAAGGGGAGATAATAAGGTGCATATTGAGAAGACCTAACAGAACAACAAATCCAACTTACCCGATTCAGTATACGATTACCCTATTAAAATGTATGATAATACTAAAGGGCTAGAAATTTAGACACGAACCTATTTTTTCATTCTAGCAAAGGCAATTTTATGCAACGAAGATGTCAATTATTGCCATCAAATTAAGTGATTCTATGCTCAAAGAGGCAAAAATTAGACCATAAAATGGGCGATCAAATTTATTTAGACCAATTTCACTTCCCTTTTAGCAACCCTCGACCTAAAGTATCTACAGAAAAAACTGGAATAAAAGCAACACTGTTAGTTCTACATGTCTCACTTAAAGTGCATGGATTAAAAATGGTCAAATTTACTTAATCATAGCGATTACCATGTCAACTGAAGGGGGGCCTTTCTGAAGCTCATTCTGGAGCTTCTGCGATGATGATACACCTCCCTTAGGCATTTGTGAAATGAATTTTGCTACTCGATATGAATCTAACGCACCACCTCTTATTTAACTCCATTTAAAATGTCCCATTGTTTTACCACAATTAACTTGAAGGTAATAGTTCAGTGAATCTAAATTAAGAAGAAAATACACAAGAGGAACAAATGGTGCTGTCATATGCCCGCCAAAATCAAAATTAAGCAATTGGTGATTAAGACAGAGTAGAAACTAATACTACAAAAAATGACTACGAACGTACCATATTCAACGTCTAGGTGGTCTAATTGAATGGAAAAAAACATTATGATAAAGGAGAAAATCAGAGGGAAATAGCTGAAGCTCATGAGGGTGGGAAATATAACAAATTGTAAGCTTGTCGAAAGAGATCATTTCCGATCTATAGCAACTTTAATGAGAAATCAGCATTACCCAGTTCTTGTCCTGCTCCAATTTATCTAGTTGTTGATGAGACGAAATAAAATATCACATTTCGAAACAGAAAAATAACTGCTAACGCATGGAGAAATCAAGCCAACCCAATTTCTCACGGGTGTGGTGAGAATTGTCGATCTTGAAATATCTAGCCAAGTTCCACAGCTTCAACGAGGAGAAAACAAAATATCATCCATTTCTTCAAGATATAATAAAATCAGAAGCTGAGCCTAAAGTCTGTATTAACTTGGTGCCAATTGCACCAATGGAACATCAGATAAGACGGATTCGAAACTTAGTGATGCTCATCAAGGACACGGAAAGGCTGACTTCTCAATTTTTAACTGCAAATCAATCAGAATTTTCGAAAAAAAACTCGCATTCGTACAGCTCTAACCATGTAAATAATTCGGCTAATTCCTTAAATAATAGGAAACTAGTTTATATGACTTCTTTGTTTTATAACTGTAAAATATGCACTAACAAACTTCCACGTACAAGAGTAACAATTTGAAGTACGGGAAAAAAGACAGTAACTGTCAATAGGGAGGTTATGCATGCATAGATTGTACAAGAACAAATACTGAAAATATAGCACTTTGAGTGGGCTTTTAATCCATTTATACAAGCGAAATGTAGAGAATGTAAATGAATAAATAGTATATGAAATAAAATACTTTTCCAGGAACTCACCAAGCATCGACAAAGGAACAGAAGTCAGTTGAGTATCGACCATCGTCGGGCAACTTAGGCGGTGGATCCTCAATAATCTTACTCAAGATAGCGAATTCAAATTGAGAGCCTTTGTAGGGGAAGGACTTAAGTGCAAGTTCCACGAGGGATATTCCAAGAGACCAGATGTCCGCTCGAACATCGTACTTGAATTTCTCCAGCCTCTCCGGAGCCATATAGCCTATGCAACCGAATTGGTTGGAATTAGAGATAGAATCTTTCAATTGGCCACTAATCCCGAAGTCACAAAGCTTAATATCTCCACCGGAACTTAGCAACATATTCGAAGGTTTAACATCTGAGGACGGGAAAAGGGGATTATGGACAAAGAAAAGCTACCTCTGTGCATAATATTGTGCTCCCTTTTTAGATAATCCAGAGCTTTTACAATCTAGTAATGGAATTATAAATTTAAAGCATGATAACATACTGAGACGGCAATTTTCCCAAGAACGTATTCAGGAAAAGGTTCGACAGTATCTCTCATAAGGGTATCAAGAGACATCGACATAACTTCCATACAAATCCAAACCTCGGACTTAAAGAACCAATAATTAAATAATTCAATCAGCCTTACCATTGAAAAGAAAATTCCCATACACTTTACAATGTTTGGACAACCAACGCATTTTGTAACTACGTCCAGATCCATCATAATCCGTTTATTTTCTATAGCACAAGTTGAAGAAATATGCATCTGTTTGACAGCCATAACAAGATCTTTTCGCGTCTTGTGGCGCATTTTTTTAACAACCCCACACGTACCAGCCCCCAGTTGACCTTCGTCAATAAAATCCTCTTTAGTTGCATTAATTCTCTCAAAGTTATAACATAAAACACCACTCTTTTTAAGAAGGATTTCTTTTAACTGATTAAATTCCAAGTGCTCAGACGCGGGAGGAGTAGAAATATCTGGTGGACGACGCCCATATGGCGTAGCAGAGGAGGGGCGACGTAAAATCACTAAAAAGTTAATTAAAATTAAACAACTCACGATCCGTTGGCCTCTGGCATTTTTGAGGCGTCCGACGTGGCGATTCAACAACGCCATTGGTTAAGTCTTTGGGTGACAAAAGGAAAAGATTCATAGAAAGATCTCTAAGAAAACTGTTTGAAAATGTCTGCAATTACACAGAGACGATAAACAACAATCTCAGAATGTGTAATGACAAAGGCGTACAAATAGTCAAGAAAATGACATATAAATACGTTGTGACATTATAATTTATTTACTAAATAGGCTTTAAATATTTTATTTAATTTTCTAAAGCTTTTCAGTTTAACTTTTCTAACCGAATAAAACCCATTTTGTTCACCAACTGATTTGTTCTACAAAAGATACTAAATAATATATATCTTCATTTTATATTTGCTTGATATGTTTGAAAAAATTCTTTGATAACAAAACAATCTTAATATTAAAAATGTGGATACATATGTTGAAATCTATCATGCTGATACCATTGCGCCAAAATGTAGGTAGATTATAATGATTACAATTTACAAATGTCTCTGAAGAATGTAAAAATTCATAATTCATCATCCGAATCCACTCAAATTTATCAATGTACCACTTTTACATAAAGAGCTGAACTCTTACAAATTACAGATTTTAAATAATTTTCAAATCTCTTAGTACATTCTCAATATTTCACTCCGATAATCCTAGTTCATTTTGATAAAATTTAATCATTAACTAAGCGGTAGAAGCAGTAAGAGGAAATTGTTTTTGAATACGTGAAAGAAAAATTAGTTACTTAAAATTCCTTTTGCAAAATTTTTTACAAGGTGATTATAAACTAAAATTTCACCCACTCACTTTGATACAACGTAGTAATTCAAACACAAATATAATTAACCAATAAATTTATTTTATTTATACCAAATGTCAGGCATCTGGATAGTTATCATTAGTCCTTTAGTTGACTTCAGGCTTCACAGATGGGAAGGAATTTCAAAGTGAAAAAAGTCAAGAGGGGGGAATAGAAGAGTTTTTCAAAGATGTAAGAGACAGACACAACGGTTGGAAAAAGGTGCGATTAGTACAGTGAAAGTAGTCGAATAAGACATACAATGGAGTGATGGTAGTTTGGAGACAGAAGTCAACTGGGACTTTATTGACTTTTTGCTGTATGAGTGTACGTTGCCCAGGGCTCACCACGTGTCGGTAAGTCTATTGCCCACCCCTAATAAATCAATGTAAGCCGGTATAAAAAACTATTCAAATTGCCAATTTTGATTAATAGCTATTAATAAGGTATTCCATTTGCATTGGCCTAAACATCAACATAACGCGTAAAAAATCCTAAAATAATTCTCAAATTAATGCACAGGAAATAAGATAAATGTTATTCATTAAAGCATTATCAAATAAAGGATCATCTTTTAACTGTTTCACAAATATAAACTATTTTACAAATATTTTTACTTAGAAAGAAAAGGGAACGCATTTACGTGGCTTAAAGAAAATTTATTTTATTCACGCGAAAACTGGAAAATAATCATTGATTGTTTGTTTGAGGTATTGCGCTAGTCAACAAATCGGCTTGGTAACGTTTCTCAATCCCCGATTATGTGAGTTTTGTTCTCATGTTTGTGATTTTTCGTTTGTGGTTTTCGCTATTTTGGCTTCCAATTTGAGTAATTAAGTGTGATTCCTTTTGCTATGTTATGAGGTTTCGTTATGTTTTTGTAAAATTCGAACATTAAAGAGTCCACTATTTATTTAGCATTATGGCAGATAACAGTTCAACTGAAAAACTCACTCATGCTCAGTTACCTCTTCCTAAAGATGAAAGACTTAAGACAATTGATGTTATTTCTACAAAAGGAAACTCTTTTGAGGACTTCTGCTTGAAGAGAGATTTGCTTAAGGGTTTATATGAAAAGGGTTGGTCGGCTCCTTCCCCGGTGCAAGAAAGCAGCATACCGATGGCCCTTACTGGGCGTGATATATTGGCCCGTGCGAAAAACGGAACGGGCAAAACTGGTGCATATTTGGTGCCCACTCTTGAACGCATAGATCCAAAAATAAATAAACTCCAATCCCTGATTCTAGTTCCGACTCGCGAGCTGGCACTTCAAACCAGTCAAATTGCTACTGATGTTTCAAAATATCTCGGAATCAATATCATGGTTACGACTGGTGGCACTAATCTTGCTGACGATATTGCACGTCTAGATGGCGCCGTACATTGCTTGATAGCGACACCTGGTCGTATTGTTGATTTCCTTAATCGTTCCATCTTAAAATTGGATCACTGCAGTACTTTAGTACTCGACGAAGCTGATAAGCTTTTGTCTATTGGATTTAACGTAATTGCATCATTCGCTTATTTTTCTTTCTAGGAAATGATTTTGAACGTTATCAAGTCCCTTCCTGAAAATAAGCAAATAATGCTATATTCAGCAACATTTCCTGTTTCGGTACAATCATTTACTAAGGCTCACTTGAAAAATCCATACGAAATTAATCTTATGGAAGAATTAACTCTTAAGGGCGTCACTCAATATTATGCTTATGTTCAGGAAAAGCACAAAGTAAGCTCATTCGAATTTTGCTAATTCCATAGGTTCATTGTTTGAATACACTCTTCACTAAGCTGCAAATAAATCAGGCGATAATATTCTGCAATACAGCACTGCGTGTTGAATTATTGGCTAAGAAAGTAACCGAGCTAGGTTACTCGTGCTATTACATACATGCAAGAATGTCCCAGTGCTACAGAAATCGCGTCTTTCATGATTTCCGCGCTGGGCATTGCAGAAATCTTGTTTGTACCGATCTTTTTACTCGTGGCATTGACATCCCGTCTGTCAACGTTGTGATTAACTTTGACTTCCCCAAATATGCGGAAACTTATTTGCATCGAATCGGACGTTCGGGACGATTCGGTCATCTGGGTGTTGCCATAAATCTAATAACTCAAGAGGACTGTAGTGCTCTAAAGGCAATAGAAACCCAGTTGCATACTGAAATTAAGGCTATTCCTAAGGACATAGACAAGCGTCTCTATGTCTCCGAATACCAGACTGTTTCCAGTCTGGATGAGGAAACTCGAAGAGCTCTCTCGATGGGTTTAGGAATTCCTGAGGAGAGCCATAGTGAGGTCATTTCTAGACCCCCAAATAATGTTCCTATTGAAGTCGAGAATAAAGCTTGAATAAGCTGAGTTATCTTTTCGAGTATCCAGCATTTGCCAAAATTGTTATTGTTGCATTTGCAGTTTTGAGATTTTATTTTTTCGACTACAATCTTTTTGTAACTTCAAAATACCTCTTTAACACTTTTGTTTACTTACATTTACTGTATTCAAGCGAAATTACCAAATACTTTTGTACGTTTTTCATGAGTTTTGTTAATAAAATGTTGTACTACTAATAAAAGAAGCTTCTTTCTTCGAAGCGTTGTACGAAACTTAGTTTAGGATTTGGCTGGTTAGCTTTGATCGAATAATCTATTGGGTTTCATTGAAATAAGGTAGTACTAGCTGTCATAAACTATTAGTAACCTGGGTAGTTTTTGTATTCTAGATGGCTGAAATTGGTATTGAAGCAGAATTTGCTATAGAGGAGCCAAGTCTGCGTTATCACCGTTTAGAGAATGATTGTCCAAGTTGCTATGAAACCAACGAGATAAATCGCTTCGCTGCCCATTACAAATTCATTGTTTTGGGACACAGGAATGGAGCGGTGAATATTTTTGATCATCTTGGTCACCGTGTGCAAAATGGATCCTACAGAAAGGTTATTTTCCTAAAAGGCCATGGACTCTTTAAAACGTCGATTTTTAATATACATTTTAATATTATAGCACTTTCGTCCGGTCAACGAACTTAGCATTTCCGAGGATGGTAACTTCGTGGCTAGTTGTGCTGATGATGGTTTCGTAAGTTTTAGTCACTGAAATCCTTATATTTTCTTTAGGTATATATCTACAATCTTATGGAACCTGAAGAAAGCGAGCTTATTAATTTAAGTAAGCCTGTAAAATCCATCGCTATTTCTCCAAAATATTCAATGACCAAGAAAATTATAATAGCCGATAAAAATGTGAGCATTATTTCAGAATTTCACTTTCATTACGCATATTTCTTATTTTATTACCTTCCGTCAAAAGTTGCTACGTTTAGGATGTACTTTTATCCATTATTTTGGGTACTCTATTGTACATGAATTGCCTTGACTAATTAATTGCCAGTTTAGTGCTAATTAAACAGAACAGCTGTGTTAAATTAATTCTCCGCTAAACTGATTTTTGTTCATCTTTTATAGATTTCCCTCTATTCTCGGGGGATATTCGGGCGGCGAAAGCCAGAACAATTGTATGCCCCTCCTGGAGGGGTGGAAGTCATGTCCTGGAGAGGCGATTTTCTCATTTGGGCTGACGAATATGTAAGCCTTACAGTGGAATTCCTTCTCCTTTATTACCCAAAATTACTTGGCTAATTTTCTCTTTCCTTACTTTGCAGGCCGTGCGGGTTTATAACGTGCGCAGAAAACAGCTCATAAATTTCATTCCTAAGGTGAAAACTAGTTACAGGTAAGCTTCCCAACAGAAGGTAGATTATCGATTTTTGATCTCATGGAAATATGAACTTCTCTCTTCCTTTTTCTTACGCGGGTGTTAATTTTCACATGGTTTTTGGAGCTATAGTTAGTAAATTAGATTAGGTTGAATAGTGCTCATCTCGTGTATACTTTTTACACCAAAAATATGCTCAGTACTAAACCCAGGCAACTTTCTGTATTTAGAAATATAAATCAGAATTTGCGTGATATTGGTTTTGTCAAATGAAATCGTTGGCATCCAATAAGGAATTGATTGCGATAAAAATATCTCTTTATTACTATATAAAATGTGTTCATAGCATAAGCAAAAACACTGAATTAATTGGGGTCAGTATTATAATCTATTTTCTAGAGAACTAATAGCTTCTTTCCGTTTTGTCTCCCTCAAAACACTGGTAGTGCCTTAGAGTGTCGCCCAAGTTATTATCTATCCTGGCATTCAGACACCTGTTTTCTGATTGGCTGGGAGAAGACCGTTCAGGTTTGTCACATAGTCACGCCTTCCTCAAACGATCAATCTACCTCAAGAGACATTCTCTGGACTTCCACAACATCTAATGATGACACCGAATCAGTCGCGTCAAATTCTACCCTCAACTCCACTTCTATAATTAGCAGCGTTCTAGGCTTCAGAGAGTTTGTCCAACTGACTGTCCAATTCTCCCTACAACGAGGAGATGATGATGAAGGAAGTGGGGAAATCATATATGGAATCGCATCACATCAGGGTCGTATTCTTGCTCTTCTATACTCACCAAAATCTTTTGAAAGTCTTCTTGACGTTCAAGAAATGACTCATGATACAGAGGAGCTTTTGAACGTGGGAAAATCACCACAGCTTGTGGTTCTTGATATTGGAGAAGCATTGACAGCTGCTCCTTGCCCGATAATGAATGATCTGGACTCGATGCTTGATGTCAGTGAGGAGGATTCTTTTGAGGAGATAAGTCGAGAGGATGTTGAAGTGAAAATACCGCCTGGATCGCACGGATTAGGTCTGGGTAAGCTTTTGCAAATTACATTTCCCTTACAGAAGCTTTTTAATGAGCCATCACTATTGCTTTATTATTCGTTTGCATTTCCTGAAAGTTCATAGTTTCCCGCCGGGAGGCAGTATATGTCTCATATTCAAACATTATAGCTCGATAATCAGAATCATTTTATAGTTGTCTTTCTTCGTTTTTACCGAAGTTCTTATTGAGCTTACTTTTTTCGTCTAAATATCGGCTATTCTCTGCTGTATTTTTGCAGGATATGTTGTCTAAGTGGGCCTTACTTAAATAAAATCCCATACATCGGAAGACCGTATGGCTTGAGAAATGTAAGGAATAAAAGTAGGCAGAAAAATGGTTTATTGCCTTAGTTGTCCCAATCTCTCCACCTCTAGCATGGAAGGTGAAGCTAGGTGTATAATGATTTGACCAATAGCTGCATTAGCTTCCGTTTTTAAGGTTACAAACCTACTTCTAGAATACTTACGGACTATATTTATTTATATTTCCCTCTTATTCTAGCGGAGGAGAAGGGCTTTCACTGGGGAAAATTAATTGCGTAATTTTAAATAAACAATGTTTCTCCTACAGTGCGAAAAATTAATTAATTAATGGCAAAAAGGAGTAGAAAATTCACCATACTCAAACAAATTAAAAGTGATTCTACAAACGTAAAATATGGCGACTGCTCCTGCTTAAAGAAGTGAGCATTTTATTTGGGAAAATGGCGCTGTCTTTCTTCATACTATAAGAGAAGGTAACACAAATAACAAAGATGTACTCTGTTGCAGAATGTTCAACTAAAACAAGCTGGTGGGTTGTCTAATTTAATTCAACCGTGACTTTGCTTTATGGTGGCAGCAAGCTTGTAGTAAGCTTCTGTTTGTGATGTCCTTGAGTAGTTGAAGAATGTAAGACAAGCTTTGATTAATTGCCATGAAAAGATAATTCATATGGGGGTTACTTTCCTTACAGCGACCATTTCTGGTGACGACACCCATTTTGTCTACTCTCCCACGGATCTGATATGTGCTCAATCTCTGTCATCCGATGATCGAATCGACTGGTTTCTAGACCAGGGTATTCCACGACGTGCTCTGCAAATCGCCAGGGAACATCAAAACGATTTGGTCAAACATTCTCCCAAGGTTTCGTCCTTCTTTTACTTTAACCAATAATTTTAGTTGCATGTTTTAATCTCGGAAGGAAAAAATGACTTGTCAGACGTTTAGTGAGGTAAAGAGCCCATAAAGTGTGATGTCATGGCTCTTATTACAAAGCTATTTATTGCTGGCCCTTTTACTGATAGGCAATGTGTGTCCTTTCATTTATTTAATTCGTTTTATTCTAATGCAAATAATGTAATTTACTGTTCATGCAATTTTATCAGACAGGTCCTGTAAAAACAACGCTTATTTTATTCAGCCAAGCTGGTGTTTGTTAACAGCGAAAACACTAATTACGTAATTTGAAGAAATCTATTATTATATTACAACCTGCTTAATTGTTTAATTAGACACTAAGCGAAATAGGAAATCGATTTTACCCGGTGAAGAAAAGGTTAAAGATTTGATATAAGTTAAAATGAGATGCAAATTAAATAATAAAAAATATACAAATCGATGACAAATGCGTGAAGCATTTAAAGTCATCCTTTGAAAAAAACATGTGGTTGATGTCAGTTTCCACATATAAGTAAATTTTTATTCATTTTCCCTAGGGATGTGTACATTTATTTCTCTTTTCGCTGAAAATTGCCTTTTAAGTGCTTAATCAGTGGGTTCAACCATTGTACTAGTTTCGAGCTCACAATAGGCGAAATAGATGTCATCGCCATGCCATGAAAGTTCTTGTCTGAGCTTCTTGGCTTTTTTTAGAAATGCTCACTAGTGTACGAATTATGTAGATTTTGAGAAAATTTTCCCTGACTTTCAGTAGATGTCTTTTAAGTCACTCGAGGTTATTCAGAGGTGTAGTACATACAGCTGCGTCGCTATTTGTTTATTGCATACATTATGGAGATTTAGTCAGGATCTATTTGTTGAATGGAAAATATGTAACTAGTTTGTGTCTTTCTATAATTTTAGAAACTTGGAATGGATTGTCTCAACAAGTTGCTAGAAGAAAAGAATTATGCACTTGCAGCTGGTATCTGCAATCTGATTCTTACCGACAAGGAGTCTTGGGAGGAGCAAATTTATCGATTTCTTCATCTTGGTCAGGTTCACGTATGTCCAAGCGAGCCTTTTTCATTTGCGTTTATAGATATATATATATATATATATACACACACACACACACACACACACACATATATATATATATATATATATATATATATATATACATATTCTTAAAATCGTCACCAATTTGCTTTCCCTCTGCCTTGGTCAAGCGTTAATACTTTCCACACCCTTAATGGGTTACATGTCCAATAAATCACTGGCATTACTATCAATCAGACAAATATTCATAGAATCCTTCATTAAAATTGGTGCAGTTTTTTGTTTTCGATTCTTGGTATTGTTCGTTTTTTTAAATATCTTTAGGTTCTGGTGCCTTTCCTGCCATCAAACAAGGGTCTAATCAATCCTTCTACTTACTTGGTCATCTTAATTGATCTTCTTAACAAGTCTCCTAGAATGTTTCTTCAAAAGCTCAACGACTGGCCACCTAGTCTCGGACTTTATCCCATCGATCCACTGATTGCTGCTGTGCAGGAAAAAACTGCTCCCTTTTCAAAACAAGGTAGGCTAAAAATTAGTGATTAGTTATCAATTACCTCAGATTCGCTAATAACCGTATTTCCATCATCTCTAGACATTTTCGCAATTGCCAAACAAGATCAAGATGTGCATGCCCTATTCCGTTCGTTGATCCTACTGTACGAGAACTCAGATGTACCAGAAAAGGGTTTGGAATTTTCCATCAAACTTAGGGACTTGGGAGTTTTCGATCTTCTCAGACGTCATCTCCTGCCCCAAGATCAGACAAATGGTCGATTCAGCACTGTCGTGCGTCGACAAATCATCCCCCTGTTTCAAATTGACACTCCTCGTGCCACCTCCCTAATGATTGATTGTATTCATGAGCTACCCGTAAGTTGTGCCTTGAATAAATGTCCAAGGTTAAGGCTGTCTGATCCTAACTAAGCTGTTCCATCCAAATTTGTAGGTGGAATTTGTAGTTCAGGAGTTGGAATCTCAACCACAGATACTTTTCAAGGTATACCGCTCTCCAGAAATCACTGGCTTATAATATCCTGGAACGACTTTATCTATTCTTTCCTTTTCTTGCAGTATCTTGATGCTCTCCATATGCGTAATCCCCGACCCGCTTTGCCGTACATTCATCGATTAGTTAAACTATACGCCTCCTATGGTCGTGAACAGCTTTTGCCATTCCTTCGTTCGACGCACCATTATCCCCTTAATGAGGCTCTCGAGCTATGTAAATCGTTGAATTATATTCCGGAGACGGTATATCTGCTTACTCGGGTTGGGCGGCGGAAGGATGCTTTGAAGCTTCTCATGGAAAAGGTTTGTAAATAATTAGTGCTTGAGTATTTGTGTGTTATTTTTTGCCTTAACCATTCGAACATTAAGTTGATCCATGATCTGCCTCTCTCTCTTTGTCATTGTATTAGAAACCTTACGTCATGGTCGTTTTCATTTGAAGTTATCTTTCGCTAAATGATTTGGAGATAATCTATGACAGTCGAAAATGTACTTATATCAATTTTAGGTTATACAAATAGACTAGAAGATTGAAACTGATAACGCGCTAACGTATTACGAATGCCCACAATTCGACGATCTGATTCAGTTTTCAAACATATTTTCGCATTTGAAAATCCAAAATCAAAATATTCATTTACCATTTCGCTTTCACTCCTGTAATTAATTGAAATGTGATATCTCTTATTTAGGGTGCCGACGATGACTTCTTACTGGGCAATCGTCAACTTACTCCTGAACAACGTCAAGCCGAAGTAGCCGTGCAGGCCATCGCTTATTGTCTAGAAGAGGACACTTCTCACAACTCTGAAGCAGTTGCCTATTTCAATTCCTACGACTATCCCCGCCGTCTCCACTCAATTCGTCACCATCAAAAAGTATCCCTTGGGTCTGAAACCAGTTCTTTGGACAGTGATGAGAACTCAGATGCTGAGAGCCAGTACAATAAAGGTAAAGACGAGGACGAGGATGTGGGAGGTCTACAACCTCATTCATTTCCGATTTCTCGCGAAACAGGGGAACTTTGGAGGCAGGTTGTCCTTTTCGCGGTAGACAAACCTGGCTTTATTTGTGCTCTGTTGAAACACGCGAGCACGGAAAAGATCGATCCGGCACTTTTGTTAAGAAAAATTACTCCCAATATGCAGATTCCGAATTTGAAGGAATCGCTAACGAATTTGCTTAGAAACACCCAGGTGAGTAAGTCGAATAAAAACTTAAAACTATATCACTGTTTGTAATCAATTGAGGATTGAGTGGCCAAAGAACTCCACGAGTTGTTTATTCTCAAAAAAGAATGACTTAGTCATTCTACATTGGGGTAAACCTTGTTTTCTAGTCTTGCTGAAATTTGTTTGAACGTAGAATATAGGTCCAGGTGTTTTGTCATCAATTGGAAATGTCTTTGAAAGGCGTTGTACATTGCTACCACCCCATTCAAACCCAAAAATGTTAAGAGCAATAGGAAAGTTATTTATTGATGATGATAGAGTTGACCGAAAATAAGCAGGCAGACTTTCGTCTTTATTTACAAAAACGAGTAATTACGTCAATTTATTAGGCTTCCACTCCCCCAATTTACGCAGTTTTCATAGCAATTATAGCATGAAAACAGCGTGTTCGAAGTGGGAATAGGTAAATTCCTTTTCAAAGTAGTTTGAAATCGAAGAATGCTAATGCGGGTTATTGGCAGCATTTCCAGTGCCCTTCCACGTTAATATTGCCGTTGAGCATGCAAAAAGAAAACAGTGGAACTTACTCACCATTTTACAATCCTTAAACAATTCTCTTGTTTTAGATGCAAATCGAGCTACGTAAGAACTGTGAGGCCATTCTGCTTAAAGATCTCCAAGAGGTTTCAGTCCGTCTCGTACAGATTCAAAACCGCGGCATCTTTGTGGATGCAGGTCAAAGACAGGCAGGTAAACACGTTTCATTCATTGGCTCATCCATTGGTGATCACGGAGTGTGCAAGGTATGTCGACAAAGTCTTCTCAGCACCGTACAGTCTTTCGGTCCTTCTACGAGCACTACCGCGTCTGAGTTGAAGGGTGTCGGCCAGCTTCAGCAACCCCCTCTTGTGGTGTTTCGTTGTTCTCATGTCTTTCATCGATCGTGCATATTCAAGAGGTCACCCGGACGAATTGCGTTGTCTTGTCCGGTTTGCATCCAACAGCATGTGCCACCTGCAGCGTCTTAATCTCTTGTCCCTCTCCGCCTTCCTGACTTAATTATTTGCTTTATTTTAATCGAAAATTGTATATAGTGCTGTGACAATTTTACATGATTTAATACATTGAGATTTTCATACCTTCTTGTTTTGGGTTAAGGCTTCCTGGGAATAACTAGGGAGATTTTATGAAGGTTTATGGGAGGAGAGATGCGTTTTTAAAGTCACTAATGCATATGCTTTTTACTTCCACTCAATACGCACATTTGAATAAAGCTTTTCCTATGGAGACTTTTCATCTGCCGCCCAATGAAACCATCGATTGGACGGGGTTTACTTTCAGAACAGAGTTCGGAGCTATATTCTTTCCCTTGCAATACATTGCCTTAGCAAGAGCATTTATGCTAATTGCAGAGAGCGCTCATCGTTAAACAGTAATTGTGTCAAAAGATGTATGCTTTCATCAGTTCACGTCAAACGCATAATCGTCGGTGCACTATTAAGTGCTCCCCTTACAAACCGACAAGATCGCTAGCTAAGCCTACTTCCAGTTCATCAGTAGTAGCTTTGCTAGGTATTGTCGAGACGCCACCATCAAGACCAACTTGCAAGTATTGTTGTGATTGGTCATTGTCTTCGCAAAATTTATTTAGATCGGAATTTTTACAAAATGGCAGGGTAGTAGTACACCTTTTCTTATACCCAAATTTTGGTAGATAGCCACTACTAACATCTCAATAAATAGCGGATAAACTAATCACATTACTATGAAAAAATATATCGACTCTAACCTTATATTGCTAAATACATATATTAATGCGTATAGAGCAGTTAGTGGATGAAAAAGAGGACATTCAGTGGTAGTTATGGTAAAATTATGGTAATGACAGAATTTGCATGAAAGAATTAATAGTCAAATCAATCACTGGGTCAATTTGAAGAGGAAAGCTCGATTCAATCTCTACATTTCACACACAGAGAAAATCTGACATGGACTAGCATGCGCACTAATTATGAGAGAGGGTCGAGATCCGGACAAGGAAATCAATCTTTTACAAAAGAAGAAGGGAGAAGGAGAGTTAGAGATCAGTAGAGAGATAGATTGGAATTGCTGACAGGAATTGTGAGCGGAAACAATTACGAGACTGTTGAAGTTGCCTCAGTACCAGCCTTAGTAGTCGAGGTAGGTGTGGATTCAAATGCCTCCATAGGGGGCTTTTTTATAGTTATTTCACCAGCCTCACACCTTTCTTCATTTTCCCCTTCTTCATTTACAGCATCTCGAGGTGACTCGTAACGGGCAAAGCTGCGTTGTTCACGAGAAATTCCTTCTTCAGCGTTGTCTTCCTCTTGATCTGAAAGACCGCTAAATACATCCTTTTCTTCGACCTCCAGGCCCGGGGTCTCAACGGGATTCTCTGCACCGTTTTTATCTTGAACTTGATCATTTTCTTCAGTTTCAGGAGAAGATTCTTCTACGACACCGTTTGAGTCATTCATTTGTGCGTCTTCAACCTAGGAGGAGGCGACGGAAACGATCAATAGTATGAATAGCTGCAACAGCAAACGTTAAGGATTTCCTTAAATAGTTCATCAATTTATTTGAGCTCTTACAAGCTCGTTTTCCTTTCTCATCTAATGACAAATATTTGGTTACAGACTAAATGTTTCCCTTGTTTTACTCTAATAAAGTAATCGATAAATGTTCCTCCTCACTTCAAACATTGTTAGTGGAGGAACATTTCTGCCCTTCAGTTCAACAGTATAATTTAGCAAAAATCAAAGTCAACAAAGGATAAAGGACTAATTCAATGGTTAATTTAATTCGACCTGAACCAAAGTTAAAACTGCAAATTGTATCAATTTTTGACCATGTGAGCTGAAGTGACTCGTTCTCCGCATTGCTTAAAAAGCTAACTGGCTGGATGGTCTTGGTTCAACTTTCAAGCTGATTTAGGAAGACGTTTTACAACACGCATCTTGGGAGTATAAGTAACGAAATGGAGCTCCCTGGAGGTAAATTCGAATTCTACTGTCCCAATTATTCGTCAAATGAAAAAATGTAGTTCAGTACTCTCCTCACTGGATGTTCGTCAGTGGACATCCAGCTCGTGATGTCTAACTTTCCAGAAATACAGGTTAACCAATACACTACCAATGCATATGGGGTTGGACAAGCAAGTGCAAACAAACCTCCATCTCTCCAACATTGGGCGTTCCCTGTTGCTCAGTCTTCATCTGGTTGGATTGATACATGAACTTGTTGAGCTTTTGTCGATACTCTTTTCGACTGTAGAAGTTGCCAAAATAGTTCACATCCCAACAAAGAACCCTGCTCTATACACACACACAACTCTAAAATCTACGTTTCCGATTAGGGTAAACAGTCACCGAAATGTGATAATAAAAAGAACCTAGACACCATGTTCGTGGAGAGACACAAATAAGTATAAACCGTATTGCTGAAAGTCCCTTTGTGAAATATTAATGACTGAGATACGGACACTTTCGAATTTGAGTTGGGTTGATCAATTCACAATTGGACTCACAGAGCACGCTGATCCATTTTCTTGTTTACCAGAATCAGCCACATCGCCCTGCCCCTTTTCATCATTCTTGGATTGAGCAACGTCTGTGCCTTCACTGGTCAAATAAGGAGTTGGAACCGGTTGTGAAGTGGCGACGATGGGTTTGGAAGAAGCATGGAGGTGGTTTTGAGGATGCATAGAGAAGTTTTTCAGTGCCATTATCGTGGATGTTTGTTGATTTTGTATAAAAGCCTCGTAACGTTTGTCAGGACGTCGGTAAAGAAAGATCTCCTACAAGAAGCATATAGGCCAATGACAACACTATTGTTAGAAAATGTGGTGCATCTATTTTAAAGTTGATTGCCATTTGGTAAAAAAACCTAAGTTTTGTAACTACTCATTGATGTTTCCCCCTTTCTGTTACTCGTCATCTTTTGAATATTTAACAAGATACGTTCTTAGAATCGGCATATCTCGAACTCAATGTTTTAGCACAACCATATTTTAAAACAGTAGTTAAAAAAATTATGAATAATGATTTCGCATGTCCAGCGGAACACAAACAGCAAGCAAAGAAATTTAAAGAAACACGAGAATAAAGTTGAAGTATTTACGTGACTTGCAAAGTACAAGTCTGTCAAATTAGGGGTTACGAATTCGACACCTATCTGAGCAACACATCCAAAGTGGCATTTAAACAGATGAAACCAACGGCTATTAGTAGGTGAAGGGGTATCGTAAAGCACTTCGAGTAGTTGAATTTAGCTTGGTGGAGATAAGAAAAAAGTGTCCTACTAAACAAAAGATAATCATAACGTCTTTCTGTGTTCTATTAAAGTGGAACCGACTAATAAAGATCTCAGTGAGGAAAGTTTCAGAAAAAAAGTTTTCTAGCTTGACCAAAAACAAGGAAAGCGAAGAGTGCATCCAGAGCTGTAGCAACTAAGATGACAGATGCGAATATATGCAGCAATAATACTACTCCATCTATGACCTAATGATCACAATATTATTCAAGGTGATTCACGAATAGAAGAAAGTGCCTGGTTCATTAAATTATAAAGCATGGGGAATAAAATAGGATCGTGCCAACTTTTCTAACAAATCACTTAGTTGCCAGTAATGCAGATAGAATAGTCGCTCTATGTCCCTCTCTCTCTCCCTCTCTGCTTCTTGCATTGACTCGAAGACCTATTTTAGGCGGTCCTTAATCAACGACAACACGCTTGTATAAACACTAATATGCATGTGCCACATTAAAGTGAGTTTTTGCAGTAATTCCGGGTTAAAGTTCACTTAGTACGAAGAAGTCACTGCTTTTTTCCAAGACTTGATAAATCATTATAATGCGATAATAGGCATAACCGATTAGATAAAACTCGTTACTACTGCATCAGCGGGTGATATCTCCCCCATTGTTATAGTAGTATCTAACTATTACCTAACTAAGAATTGTACATAAACAAATGAACCAAAGCTGCAGTGCTCTTTAATAAGAAGATTTGCACATTCTGGTCAATCCACCATCATATACATGGTGCCAATTATATATATTAAGGGCCTTCTTTGGAAATGAATTAATATTGACGGAAGTGAGTGTAACTGAATGAAAATTGCACATCGATATTATTAGTGCTTACCGAGAGCAGCATCAAGCTCAGTCGTTAGATAAACGGAGCATCCATCATCAATCAGTCAGATTTCATTCATTCATTCCCCACAACCAATATACCTATGAAGTTCATGTCTTAAAAACAAAAGGTAGTTAAGAGTTCCTAATGAAGACAATAGCAATACAATTTATGACAAAATGAATGTGGATAGTAATAATTTTCCAAAATTCTCGAACAAACCCGATAACTAAACTTCTTAAGTACCTTAAACCAAGAAGGATTTGCATAACGGTTGCAACGGTAGTAAACATACAATAGCTAAGACGAGTTCAAAACCGGAACTACAGCGACACAGACATATGAAAAATATATATTGCCCGATTCTAGCCGGAGAGAATGAGTTTTCAGGGCTACTCACAAAAATAATAAATGAAGCCAATTTCAAACATTTGTGAGATTTTATACCCTGCCCTCGGGGTGTGCGATAGACTTACCTCCACGTGGTGCACCCTGGGCAACGTATACTCATGCGGCAAAAAAGTCTATAAACCGACAGTTGACTTCTGAGTTCAAGCTATCATGACCCCACTGTATGTCATATTCGACTACTTCCACAGTACTCACCTCACCTTTCATCTACCTTTGTGTTTTTCTCTTATACATCTTTAAAACACTTCTGCCCCCCCCCCTCTCGACTTTTTTCGATTTGATGTTCCTCTCCCTCTGTGAAGCCTGAAATCAACTGAAGGACAAATGATAACTATGATAAAGCCTGCCATTTGATATAAATACCCTACCCTCAGTCCCTTTCCACTTCGCGTAACTGTCTTTATCACTTTCGTAGCCTGTATTAGGAAGTCTGTGTTAAAAATATAATCCACAGGCATTACTTTCAAATCTCGGACTTCTATTTGAATATTGTTAACTCCTAAAACTATGATAAATCGCTTCGGCTTACATGTTGTTTATAATACCTCCTCTCCTCCTCATCCAACAGCACCAAATTGATGTAGAACCGCACGGAGAACTTTCGATTGACATCCTTCGCAGTGGGAGTCAGCTGTTCATAGGCTCCAAGGAAGAGGCGAATGGGAATGCATTCACCACGCACCGGTGCACCATCCATGATCTCAAACTTGGCCATTGTCTCCATTTCCGTGAAGGTATTCACCGCTCCGAGGCCAGTGGACTCCCGACGCAGGATCTGCACTTCCATATACTTGATTTTTACCCGGACGAGTTGGAAGTAGATCTTGCCAACGATTACATCTTCTAGGTGGTAGCTAAATAGAGTGCAGTGGTTACTTACCAGACGTAATAAGTATGGAACAATTGGGCAATCCCTAAGCCAACTGATAGGAAATGTTTCAACATTAATTTTGGCCTAACAGTAATAACTTGGAGTCTCTCTTAAGAAAACCACGCATTCTAACATTCAATTTAATTGACCTATTCTCTAACAAGTATAGTTGCTGTTAATACCACTCAATCAATGGGAGACGACGAGCATCGAACTCATAATAATCGACTTGGAAAGTGTTTATAATGCGTTATAGCACTAACGCAGAGCATAATTCGATATATGCTCTAATAGTTTAAAGAAAAGTTTTGATACCACTTTCGATCCATTTAATTTAACTAGAAGTAAACTGCAAGAATCAAAAGTTGGTCAGATGTGCATCAAATATTAAGCCAGACAACCAGGTATGCTTCCTAAAATACTCGAAGGAAAACAACTTTGACACTTTTCTTAGGCACGTAGAAGGCAAAGTCAGTAATAAGTCAGATGATAGACTAGTATTCCACCATTCGAAAATCAATATTAACTGCTATGCTTGACAATTCTAATCACTAAATGGTTGCAAAGATGGCAGGTGCATACGATGATTAAAAATATCATTTGCCTTGACATGCTATTCGATTATTGCTTCCTGTTGTCAAATGGCATTTTCACCTTATTCACCACAACTCAAAATGGCTAAAACATGCCTCAGGATCGCTCAGCTATCAGTCTCAATGTACGTAAGTTAGAGGTCGAAATTTAGTAGTATTGTATCAGGGAGTATGAAAAAAACTTACAGACAACCCATAATGACCAACTAAACATAAACGAGTAAGTAGCATTAGCTACAAAGGCTTATGCTATCGTTACTCCGACGTTAACAGGGGGTTCCTAAAAACCCGGATCAAAGCAGAATATTTTAAAAGCATACTCAGCTGTATCTTCCTAATAAGCACGATGCAATTTTATTTACACGCTCTCTCCCTTCCACTATGGCTGAGCAACTGTGTAACTATAATACCACCTCGTAAAGAACAACCAACGATTTCGCGGTTGTAGCCTACATTATATCCACAACTGTATAGATTTGCAGAAGGAAAATATTCAGTCTCGTGTACATAAACAAGGTCATTTGGACACCCACGTACTACAAGCGAAGCTTAGTACACTCGAAAGGAACCACGCCATAAGAAAAAGGCAAACAATTCAGACCAAAGGAACTCACCAAGACTTATTGTATTCAAATTCGATGTGTAGGCTCTCTTCAATGCCCACTTCCATTTGAATGTTAGTGTCGGGCTGTTGAGGTTTGTAGAAGGAATGCACGAGGAAATCCAACTCTTTAGTTAGGTCCATAAATCGCTTGACCACTGTCACTCGAAGGAAGTACCTTCAAGAAGATATCAAACAAAAATGCACTCGAGTGGTTAAAGTAAATGGGAATGTAGTTAATAACGTTATATTTTCATGCCTTTTATCCTACGCCACCAGTCTGAGCTAATGGAACTTTTGGAGGTAACAATAGAAGAAATTAGCAACAATAAGATTATGGCGAAACAGATAGCATGCCCACCTTCAAAGTTACATAAAACAAGAAAGACATTTCCTGACCACCAACGAAGTTATCTACAAAGATGACCACAATGGTAAATACGGCCTAAGGATGAAAATCAAATCTCTGGCAAGAATTAAATCAGTAGGATTAATTATGAGCAAGATAGAATCCCAGTTCTCAATCTTTTGAGGCATGAGGCTGGAGAATGATTGATTTCACAGGCACGTTACACGTATGAATTATCACAACTATCTAGAACATTTTCTGGATGAGATTCAAAATGCTGAGGTAAGATTTACCTACAAATTATGCTTTCTTTACCAGTTTCCAGAAGTATTTACTGGCAAAAGCTTGTGATGATGGAACAATTCAATCACCAGCAATATGCTGTCCAAACTGTACATTTGCAAGAATTTACTAAGTACGTGAAATAGGACTTCAGTAAACTTGAAATTCAAAGTGCATTATAAGAAAAGGTCACCATTATCGAAGTATATTGTAGAAGTTGGATAACAAATATACTGCCCGGAAACTATGACAAAAAAGGCACGAATATCTGCCTTTATAGCAAATTATGAAAGACACTAATATGGAGCAAATTTATTTCAATGAACGCAAATTAACTTTCACATCAAGATGTGACTAACAATAAGCTATTTATCTTAAATAGCAACTTTTGACATTTGCGGCATTATTGGCAGGACGTAAATACAAAGCAAACCTGAATTACATTTGTCTTGGAAATGAAAAGGATTAAACACCAGACAGCAAGGAAGGAAAATTACGAAATTTCCAATCTTATTGAATGAAGATATTTTTCTCAGCAGCCATCTTAGGCAAAAAAGCAGTTTCCAAGAGCATCTGATTAGATAATTGCATTCCACAACATTTATTGATTCAGACTAAGAGGTATAGAGTGATGACTCTCTGAACTAATAAAGAATAAAATAGAACAAAAAACCTAGCCAGTGTGACCAAGTTAATTCGGTTAACATACAAGTATCATGTGTTAACATGGTTATTTGTCACGTCAAGTGAGAGGTGTGATCAATAGATGAAAGTCTATCAGAAGTTCAAACTGATCAGAATAATTAAATTAATTTTGTTTTAATAGGTCTGCATAGTCATATCACGCATGATTTCACAAATGGCATGAGTTCGAAACCAATAGGATTGAATTGATTGACAAAATGAACCAACGCTAACCAATATAGTTGGTGGAGTAATTGATTCCTTATCAGACAACTCAGAATACATTTACCGAAAAAATACAATTTAATTTTGCCAGGGCAAAAATAAGCTTGAAAATAGGGCATCAGAACGGTACTAATTTACTGCATGAGTAGCCAACATACGGTTTGTAATTCACCAAATTAACGGTCGATTAATTGCCGTGTGCGGATATTCATTAGGGGTAGAACGACTTCAATTGCCAAACTGGCTGTATACGCCTCCGTGGTGTACATAAACACATACCACTTTTTCAAGAGTAAGCACAAATAAATTCGAGGTTAACGGTCTCTAAGGCATTATTTCTCCAAAGACCAATGGCAAATTTTCTCACGAGTTTGACATTAAGCTGGAACCAAAAACAACTACTTGAACTATTTGAAAGGGTGATTACGGCAACTTAAAACTATGATAAAATATGTACTGACTGCAGTAGAACTAAAGCGAAACATACCTAAGATGAACATTCGACCCAGCATAAGATTCATAAGGCATTTCCACGTTTTCAAAACGGAATGGATAAGAAGTCGACGCTTGGGACAATATTCCAGGTCGAGCTAAATCCTGTGTTAGATTGAGGAATTCATCTCGACTGCCTCGATCGGCAAAGAAATCGATGTGGCCGATAAGCTCGATTTTGATCCCCTGATACTCCAACTTGCTACCGCGCTTGAGAGAAATCGATACTTTGCCGGAAATAGTTTCACCATTATAAAAAACTGGAAGCAGACATGTCTGACTTTGGTCTAACTTAGTTTCAATTAATTTGCGATTTGTAAGATTGTCGAGCGTAACATCTATGGAAGCACTTTGTCCAATGCCAAACAAATTCTATCGCAGAGAACCAAAGCATAAGCACCATTAGTAGAAAAAATAAAATATTTACAAACAACGGTAAACATAATAAATGGCATCTGTAACTTAGAACGTGGTGGAAAACAAATTAATTATTAAGAATTAATTTTGTAAAGTCAACTTGAGCTAATAGAATTAACCTAGTTTGCTGGTACATACGTGATATATGCCAAATAGAGTACTTACAAGTCGATTAAATTCAGACAAGGGGAAAATTAAATTTTGGAACCTCACCATATTTTGGCGTTGAAGTGGGAGACGCTTTGGGACCCCAAATACGAAAGTAGCGCGCGTTCTCTATTGGTTTGAGTTTCTTATCATTAGAGTAGAAGTAAATTCTTAGAAAAAACTAAGAAGCAACAGTTTATAATAAATTTTCACATTCAATTTTTTAAATTATAATTATTAAAAGATTTTCTTCCTAAATGAACTTTGTTAGTTGAGGAAGAAGCCAAAACTAATTTAAACTAGCTTTTGCTAAAAAAAACATAGAAATTATCTGAGCGTTCTTTCTATCTTCAAATTATTTCCATGATACTAATAAGTCACTATAGTTAATTTCTATTATGAGTAGTTCTAATTTTTATGAAATAACCTAAACTATCCATGCAATATTTTATTATTGTTATAAAATTTTTTAGTTATTAACAAACATTTTCATTAAATTTTTCAGATTTTACTGAAAATTACCAGTGGAATTTTACTTTTAATCCTTGATATGGCGATCAGCTCAGGTAATCTGTCATTTCCTTAATAGTTAACTATAATTTAATTTTTTTTATTTTACACAAATAAAGTTATTTTACCTATTGTAGGTTGATAATATAATTACTTTTAAGCCAGCTCTAAGGTAATGCCTTGCCAAAGATGGCTTTAGATAAATTAGCTTGTTAACATAGTAACAGTTGGTAGCGTGTATACCCAAGTTTAATAGTGTTGTATCATGATTATATAACTCCATATCAATTTTCTATTTATTCACCAATTTGGAGTATTTATTATTATTTACCTCAACAGCATTACGTAGTATCGTTTGAAGGTATCCGAGTCCCAAAGTGTAAAATAGTACAAAGCGAGTGAAGAGCAGATTTCCCATTTGAAATTGAAAATAAGTTATGTTCAAGTTGTCTACCTTTTATCTATGATTTTTCAAGTCTTAGTAAGGAAAAATGGAGCGGAAGCAAGTATAGACTAATTTATTCATGTTACTTAGATCTGACAAAGAAATCACCTTAGTTAATTATAAAACAATATATATAATGCAGAAAATCATTTTTCCTTGGCTTCAGCATTATCGTATTTAATCCACTGGTGTTGATTGTTAGCTGTTGAAAATCAAGTAAACACCATTAAACATTCCACAAGTGTTTAGTTTTTTAAACGCACTCAGTTCAAAATTTTCGCATTTTTGTTTGCTTAATTTAATTAGTTTATGATATCCGCCATGCCACTTCATTACTTTTTGCCTTATGGTAAAACTATCAACAGGGTGATAGTACTAGAATCTTTTAGTGAAAGTTAAGTCAAAGATATGATCTCAAGCTAAATGCATTTGTTACATTTTTATCGGGTTGTTTGCTTGGTACTGTCGTACCAATATTATAAAAGCCTTTGCGAAAATTACTCAGTGGTAGAGACCAAGTATTTTCGATGGAACAGTCGGTTTAAGTGCTGTTGAAAGGGTGCTTCGTCTGAACACGGAAATAAAAGCCAAATTAAGGTTTCTTACTAAGTATAAAGTTTAAATAGTCTGTTATTACAATTGCAAATTTTTCACCATATTCCCAGGAAAAATGCCAAGTAATCTACTTTCATATTCCGCTGCTTGATGCTTGATACCAACTTAAAAGTGAAGAGAATTAAGAAAACTGAAATAACGATGTTAAATTTTTGTAATATATCTAATAATCTAGGTCAAGAATAAAAAGTAAACTCGGGTTGTATGTACTTCCATGTCATCCACATAATTTCGTTTAGATTAATGCTTATTAACTAACCACTTATACGGGATTTTATGCCAGCGATACTTTGTTTCCAACTTTTTTTAAATGAAAACTCCAGATTTTTTTAAACTAAGTTAACCAATGAAAGTAATGTTATTTTACACATTTGATAGCTTTTCTAATTATTTTTTAATATTGTATTAATTCGCTACCTCAGTTCTTCATAATTTAAGCTTTTGGGTGCTTTTATTAAATTTTACCAGATTTTCATTCTGATGGCTATTAGAAACGTCATTATTAGAGATTTTAATATAATGCAAAAAATGTTTCATTTATCTAATAATTTAATACTCAAATTAAATATATGTTTTATATGAAATTCAGTTAAGGACTAACAATTATAGGTGCCATTTCAAAGACCATGATTCAGTGTACAATTCAAATAAGTCAAGGTTGGCGTAAGTGAGTGGATGTGGCAGCGACCAATCTGATTTGCACATCCTATTGTTGGAAGGCCATTGATAGCAAAATATATCTTTTTATTAGCTAAATTGATCCACATGCGCCTTTAACTTGAGCAGTTTTAAATAACGCTATTTCCATGAATTTACAGGGATATATTAAGTCTAAAGAGAAAATATTGAGGGGAGGTTTGTAGTATTCTGTCTAGCGAAATGCCCTTACAGTAGCTAACTTAAATTTATTTCACCACTCTCTTAAAACTATGTGAACTTAATATTCGAGAATTGCGAGAATATGTGGAGTAGGTTGAAGCGCATTACTTATTGCTAATGGATCAAAGAAAGAGCTGATGAAGAACATACCGGATTCACTTGAGTATAATTGAACGGTAATCAGTAAAGCCCATGGCTAAGTTTCCAGAAAGGTATATTTTCCAACATTAATTTGTGTTTGCTTGTTGCCGGTTTAATAAAAGGATATAGCTACCAATATAATCTTGGGTATTTAAAGGAACTGTTGCCCTAACTCCAATCAAAATAATAGCGGACAATTTGATTTCTTAATTTTGATTTTACACGAAATGACTATCTGTCTGCTCTACCAATAATTTTAGCCGTCAGTCTGCACGTACAGGGACAAGCCTGGAAAGCCAATAATCGATAAGTGTGAGGTCCTTTTTCTGCTACTCCGAAGCCTGTTTCTATGACTGTCGGTCTCGATACAGGCAATAATTTATGCCAACAATATGCTAAACAAAACCGGTGATAAGATTATACAGTGCCTATGTAAATGATTAGAATAATGGCGAACTCACATCATTTATTTAATCGGAATAACAGAGAGGTTAGAAATCAAATGTCATTCGTTGATTTGTTCATAAAGCATTGAACAATTGTTTGTTTGTGGAATACACTGCACAAACGCTTTCTCTCACTCGCCTGAAAAATGTTATTGATTTTCACTCCTCAACTTTATTTTTCCAGATTTCATTTCACACTGTTGCGAGCAAGTACGTATTTGTAGCAATCTCGGCATTTTAACTATCTCAATTAGAGCAAAGCTGCAATGGTGTCATCTTAAAGGCGAATCAGTGGAGCTTTAGACTACCCTACGATTCAATAATTTAATGAAAAACAGTTCTACGTCAACTAGCACGAATGAGAAATATTGATTAAATTGAAGTAACTGCTTGCAGGCAAATTTTGTAGCCGTGTGTAGCATAATACAAATTTTTTTCAATGTAATTTAATTGCAATAACAGAAAAACCGGCAAATAACCACCAGACCTCTTAAATCATTCATGAACTTGAAATAGCAATTAAATTTGCAAATTAATTTTCTATCATTTTAGAACAATAACATTTCGAAAAAATAAATCCGGTGAATGAAACAAATCTATTGGAAATGTTGCTACATTCTGATTGGTGGAGTCAAATTTGAATATCTCGACGGAGACCAACGCGATTGGATTGTTCGTTTAAAGACCCCTAAGTTTGCGCTGTGTACGCTAATAAACAGCCAACGAGATTTGAATGCGATAAAGATTGGATGCCGTACAAGTTAATTCACAATTAATTTCTTCGAGAAATTCAATTTAATTCATATTTGATTTCTTCCGTTTGTTAAAGTGTGATAGAATGGTTATAACCAATTTTATAAAAATGTACATAGAACAGAAAATATGTGATTTTACTAAAAGAGAACAACATGTTTCATTCTGTAATTCACACAGTCAATAACGTCCTGGGTAGATTGTTGAAGATCTCTAACACAGTCATAAAAATGGAAATTGACTTTCAATTGTCCAGATCCCATAAATTGTCCTATTTATTCGCCAGCATAAGTACATTGAAAAACACTTCGTTAATTTTTTTAATTTGCAGCTTATTTACAGCGGTGAGGATCCTGCTACATACCTTCACTATAATGGAACCAGAACAACCTCTGACTAGCTTTTAACTTCAAGCGACGTCAGTGAGCTTACGCACCGCGAAATAATTGACGATCATGGTTCTGGTCACAAACCGGTCATTGCTAGTATTACTATCAACAGCAAACGCAAGACACCCAAAATGTCAACCAAGCTATCATGGAGCTTCAAGAAGGCCGACTGGTCTAGATTCACAAACATTTAGAGAATGAACTTCACGCAAGTCTCATCAACTACAACCACCATCCTGACAAACTGTGCAACAGTATCACGGATATTATGATCAGATGTGCAAAGAAAGCTATTGCCCGTGGCAAGACTAAATGCTATCGAGTGTCCTGGTCTAAACACCTTGAAGAAGTGAAAAGGCATTGGGACACCCTTCGCAACACTGCCGAAGAGACTGGAAGAACGGAAGACGTACAAGCCTTGAGACGGCAGTCAACTGTCCTAAGGCAAGCCACCTTACAAGCTAAACGGACTTCCTTTGACAACTTCTTCTCAAATATCAACTATCAAAATAATAGCCAACGCACATTCAAACTCCTGCGTAACCTCCAAAACACCAAAAAAAGACCCAAGAACGTACCAATAAGCTTACTACGGACTCAGAAATGTCTAACTACTTTGCGAGGCTCTACTCCCACAAGCAAAAGAAAGGCCCTTTTGTCAAAAAAATCTTCAAGAGATATTAGGTTGGCAACTAAGTCATTGCCGATTTCAAATAGGAAGGCAAATTCGGAATTTTTGTTTAAAAATATAACTTTATTCAATTAGATATTGGCCGTTCTTGTCGATGACCTTTTTCCATCGTTCTGGCAGAGTAAAAATTCCCCGTTCGTAAAATGTCTGGTCTTTGCTATTAAAAAACTGAATTAGGTGTGATCCGACATCATCCGCGTT